TGGTTTTTTTGGCGGCGAAATGTGTAACACTTTACTTGGTTGATCATTTGCAAGATAGGTAGGAGCGTTTCCATTTATCTTGCCTTTGTGCGCGTAAGCTGGTCTTTTTGGACCAAACTAATGTCCAAACTCACCCCCTTCTCACAAAACACACGAATCTAGCCCCATTACCATCCTCTTTTATCTAGTAAAAAGCCTCGCAACGTTACTATATCAGTTACAGTATTCACAAAGCATTATTATAGGATCCGCCGTTTAAACAATTTCTTCGTATCTGCGTCTTGAATCCAGCTTAAAGTAAGCCATTAAGTGCCAAAGTTTGGAAAATAAGATTTGAAAACGCTTTAAACCCGAGGTAAAAGTGTATGTGTGAATAATGCCTGGTTGCTAGTCTCATCGATCAGAGTTTTGAAAACTCTGTCTGCTCCGAGTTTTGTTTAAGTGACCCATTAAACGCTCTGATGATTTCAATGTCAAGGAATTAGTCCTGATAGTCTCAATTGCTTCTCTGCTCTGAGAATGAATTAGCCAAGGTTGTGCGCCGGTGTTATTTATAGTCATGATATCCAGCTCAACAATTTCATACTTTTTTGGATTCTGGGTACTTGCTTATCTCCTCGATGCGGGTTTATCAACTCATCCATGTACACGCCAAAAATATTTGGATCTTCGGGAGAAGTCGGGCATTTCAATACAAGTTTTGCAAGCAAGATTCTTTACGCAGAGGTTGAACCCATTATTTGAACGAATCGGTGAAGTTCACTGGTTTCCTTGGAACCTGTGGTTCTTTGTTGGCACTGCTTTTTCAGCAGTATTCATGGTTTTTAGTGTTGTGATATTGTTCTTCCTCGCCTACAATACGACAATGCGTAAACCTATCGAACATCAAGTTATAACCCCAGTGGTACCCATTTTTTCCATTTTCACTCTAGCTTTAGATGCCTGGTGTTAATTTACCAATGAGTCAACTTGGATTTTATTTGCTGACGCTTCTCGTTTGTGTGGTTCTTCATGAAGCTGGTCATGCGTTAGCAGCTCTTCGGGAGCGTGTCAGAATTCATGGATTTGGTTTTTTCCTCATTGGAATCTATCCTGGCGCCTACGTTGATATTAGTGACTCTGATTTAAATAGTCTTTCTCCGATGCGACAGTTGAAAATTTATTCTGCTGGCGTTTGGCATAATGGTGTGATTGTTGTCATGAGCATTATTTGTTTTTACGCTCTACCTTGGATTCTCAGTCCAGTCTACATAGTGAACCAGGGTGTTGGTATCGTCCATTTACAAAAAGTGAGTTTATAAGCTATATTGCCATTTTTGTCAATGCGTAGACAAATTGTGAATGGTTCACTCAACAAAATTGAACAAATTTTGGGCAATTGTATAGTACCGATACATGATAGCGGGTGCATCCTCGATCCAGTTTTTCCTGATCAATTCGATCTACATCACATCCGTTGTGCATCAATACAGCATAAGGGGTGACTTGGTTGGATCATTACCTTACCATTCACCACTTTATTATTGCTTTTCAAAGTTCTTAACGATCAAAATACTGCGGCTCGAGTTAGCTACACCCTCATTGGAGTGTATTTCATTTTCTGTCATTTTTGAATATTTTAACTTGGTATTCGCACCACTTTTTGGGTACAGGTGCTACTGGAGATCCTTTATCGAAATACTGTTCTAAAACCGACAGTTGTTATCATTAGCGTTCGTCGCTATTCGAGTGGAGATGGAAGGTATTTGGTCTCTAATCCCTTCAGATCCTTGAAGTCCGCTTGACCGACGTTTAGTTGACATCAAAATTAATTCAGGCTCTCTTGATGTTCCTACTTGCAACTTGTAACTACCCTTACTTTTAGTTGTCTTGCTTCCTTTTAAAATCTTTGTGTCAGTTTGCACATCTGAAGGATATGTACCTTTAGACTCATTTCAGCTGTTATTGATCTAGTTTTATTTGAGTGCAAACTTCGTTTGCAACGATGTTCGAGCATACCTTGAAGAAGGCCTATCTAAAAGCAGTCGACTGCTTTTTTCGGATTGCGCATATCCCATGGCATAAAATAGTATCCCTGTCTAACGTTAAACACCGCGACAATTAAATCCAAATGTCTAGATATTTGCGCATAGGTTTTGCACTTCTCTACTACCCCGGAAGCAAAAGTCAAGTGTGGTTAAAGGACATTCCAGGTATGCTGCCCCTGTCGACACCTCCATACTTCATACCTTCTTCCGGTAGCGATTTGCTTATGTCTTTTTCATTCCTCAAGGTTTATTTGCTAACAAAAAAGTTAAGTTCATGAGGAACAGTCCTAAACCAGGCTCTTAATTGTGCATCACAATCTAGTAAAACTCTTCTGGCTCCTCTATTTAAATCAAGAAATAGAGCTGTAATTTTTCAACTTTGATTTAGGAACCTTCAGAAGGTTTGGCTTATCGTCATTTTTTTGTTCACACATAGCTGTCACACATCCCCAAGGTTTGGAAGTCTAATCCTCTCTATCTCAGATTATGGTTTTAACGGCTTTTGGTAAAATTTACAAGTGCATAACTTCTTCGGAATTGACGTCACCAAAAGAACACTCTTCTGGTATTTATGTCTGTAAAACTGAATTCTTTATACTTTACAAGTTGTTTTATGGAGGAGATAGTTTTCCTATTCAGCGTTATAAAAGGCGTAGGTGCTTCAAACAATGCACTCCGACTCTATAAACGATCGGTTCCCGTTTTGAATTCTGAGATCGGGTTGTCACAGGTTTAAATCTTACCCACTCTACAGAACTCAGTATTCACGGGTCCCCGAGGTCTCCATCTCG